AATAAAAGTATATACTTTTAAATTCCGAGTGATGTTTTACAAAAACTCAAAATTGCGGATCCAATATGGCGGCTAATTTTTGAAAAATTCAATAGATTCACTTCAAAATTGTTACTCGGTTATTTCTGCGATCACTGATCTCGAATCTGGTGCTAGTTTTCACCGTTTCACAGTTTCATCTGGTGCTAGTAGTAACCGAGTAAGTTTTGAAAAATTATCCGCCGTAATGGGTTCGCCATTTTTAAATAACACCGGATTCGTGATCAGCGACCCCATAAATACCCAAGTAACTATTTTGAAGTGAATACAACACACTCAGCATTAAAATGTAGTTATGTTTAATAAAATTTTAAGAGCTTGCCCGATTTCAGTACCACATATAAAAATTCCTTAAAAAAGCATATATATATATATATTGGTGAGAACTTTTCATCATACAACGAAGTTTTTTCTGCCAAAAAAAAACTTCAAAAGTTCCAAATTTCACAATTCCCCGGATTTTGCAAAATTTTTTTTTTTTTAATCTCAAAAACTATTATATATAGTTACAAAAAAAGCTCTGTTCTAAAGGTGGGGCTAAAATTTCTAAAGAAAAAAAATATTACGGAATTTGGAATTTTAAAAAATCGCAAAAGCAAAAACTTGTATACATTTTTAGTTGATTTTTTATTTTTTTTAATACGTCTAACTGGTCCTAAATGATCTTGCAATTTTCAAGGTGTTTTTTTAAAGAAATAAATTTTTGAACTTTGAAAAAAAAAATTGCAATCTCTAAAAAAGTTATGTTGAACAATTTTTACTTACTTAAATTTTATTTTTAAAGCCTTACTTTTAAAGCGAGTCATATGCCTAATGTACATACATATGTACACAATTATGTGCATATAAAATTTTTTATTTACTGCAGCATGTGCAAATGAAATATGAAGAACGCTGCATAGAGTACCGTTCACAGTATAATTGAGTTGAAAAACGTGAACAAATGTGTTGGCAATAAAAAAAAAACGAGTGAAATGAAGGCAACGAAACACAAAAACAAAAAGCCAATCAGCTAGTCGTCAACTATGAGTTGTGCAGTGTGGGCATTGAGATGAAAGTGCCGGGTGTTGGCGAGAGTGATTCACACGGCATGCCATTAACTCATATACTAGGCATGCATACATACATACATATGTATACGGACAGACGTGCCAGCATGCCATGCTATAAAGCATTTTTTTACACCACATCATAAATGGGCAGTTTTGTAGGCAAATGTAATAGCAAACTTGATTGTCTTCTTCATTAAAGCATTGCCATGTAAAGAATTGAATAATAGAATTTCACTTTCGTTTTCCCAAGCCTTTGTGAAATTATTATTATATATTGTACCTGCCTAATAACAAGTGATTTCTTAGCAAATTGGCAATTAATAAGATTTTCCCTTCATATTTTTTTTTGTATTTTTACCGAGCATGCGCGCAGCACAGGTGAGAGAGAAAATGGAACAGCAATCAAACGAAAAAAAAAAAAACAGAATGAAAAAAAATAAAAAAAATAATAATAATGAACAAGTAGCCGCTCGCTCGCTCGCTCGTTCGCTGCGTGCGACATTTTGAGAAGAAAAGAAAGTTTGTCACTTAAGTCTTTCGTTTTTGTATTGGCTTGGTGGCACAGGTAGCCGCTCTATTATCTTCATACACACACACATATCTACACAAATTTAAATACTATTTAGCGTATGTGTGTTTGCGGCGCGCCTTTTTTCCTACACATCGACTATTATCATATCATTTACATTCTATCGCCATTGCAGCTCCATAGAGGTTAGTGGAACGACATGCAGCAAATATTTACTTGTGGCATGCCATTGATTGAATTGTTTCACAGTAATCAGTCCATTCAGTTTATTGTTCATTGTTTTTTTTTTTTTTTTATCAAAAACCAAAACCAAACTACATGCTTATGCACATACATATGTATAATTGCTGCTGATAATGAGATTTATAGTCAAATAAAATTTTCACATTTTTTGATTTCTCTCTCGCATAGTCCAAAAAAGGGAATGTTATAAAGACGTCGGACATGGTTTGCCGTCGATTGTATTAACTTTGTATATCTACATTGGTTCGCATGTTGTACGTATGTATGTATGTATGTTGGTTTATGCGCATATCGCATAAAATCGTAATTAACAACTTCTAAAAGAGGAAGCATGTAGTGAAAGTGAATAAGCTTTTACGCTGGCTCACTAACTTGCTTTGACCTATAAAAAAAAAATTAAAGAAGTTTTAAATTGATTGCCATATATAATCGGCAAAATCACAAACAAGTTCACATAACTACGTATTCATTACATTTAGATACTTATGTACATACATATATCCGAGTGTTTATACGCGCGTATCTGTGCATACTTTTGCCTGCACGGAAATAAGTTTCGCATTTAAACTTTCACACCAACTCTTTTTTTAGACGATGAGATCACAAATATACAAAACTATTTAAAATTAAAAAAAAAGCCAAAAATAAAGGGGAGGTTAAAATTACATTTTATCGAGGAAGTTCTACGTAAAAAAAAAAAAACTATGATAATAATAATTTTGGTATAGTAAAAATTAGCGTTTTTCCATAGCTAAATGATTGATATACTCGATGTTATCCAAAATTTTTTTTTTGGGCGAACCTAGGGGTACCCTTTTAAAATTTTGGCAGATTTTGACAGATTCACTCGGCAATCAACTTTTTTTTAATAGTCCAAATTAAATAATCGAAATACTTCCTTAGCAACAGATACTGATTTTTGGACAGCTGTAATTTACTAACATTAGGGTGGTAGGAACTGAGATCTGGTAGATAACTAATAGCAGGTTTTCTTAACGTAATCACACAGGTATTTTTAATGCCCAACTTTGTCGTTTAAATATGTGTCATTTAATGCCTAGTGGAAATCCGGCATAACAGTGCGGCAAAAGGTCTTAACTGATAATTAAAATAGGAAGTTATTATGGCAGTTCCATCTTAAATGTAAAAAAATGATGATTTTCGGAGCGATTGCCTTCGATTTGATTAAAATTTTGCGCACGGGCTAAATTCATACTAAAACTGACAGAAATGAACTTTAAAAAAATTACTTAAAAATGATGGGCATGGCAATTAAAGGTGGTCGTAGACAAATCAGGCTAGAGGTCTCAATTTAATACATACATTTAATAAATACATTTTGACACATAAGTGTTGTTTTGCAGAAAAGTATTCATTAAAAAAAAACGAATTTTCAATTTTATTGTGAAATAAAAAAAAATATAAATTATTTCTCAAAAACTCACCCCCACCGATTAATAACGATGAAACCATGTTTTTCTAAATGTCTGGTTTTTAATATAGGAAAGTAGTTTCTCAGTTTTCTAGGTTGGCGATTTAAGCGTTTTTTTTTCAATTTGAAGTTGGTGCTAGCAGCGCAGTATTTAAGGCAATTAAAAATAATTTTTAAGGCAATTAAAAATAATTTTTAAGGCAAATATGTATAATATCAAAAAGCCGCTTTTTGCGCTTTGGTGCAAACAAACATCAAGAACTTGTTTGCACTTTTCCTTCATGTTACTTTCATGGTTTATGGATCATACCAAAAATAAATTACAACTTCAGATTTCTCGGACCCCAAAACCACTAGAAAGGCCTTTTGATGTTATTATTAATATTTGCATTAAAAATCACTTTCAATTGTTTTAAATGCTGCTCTGTGTCGCAAAATTCAAATTAAAAAAAAACGCTTAACCCTTCTACAATTTTTGGGTCAAAATGTCCCAATTTTCATGAAAAAATTCTTTAATTACAAAGTTAGGCAATTTTAAATATTTAAGCTGCGGCGTTGTCTATCCGTTAAAAGCATAATCAGCTATGGTTTTTCAAAAAATAAAAGGTTTTTTTTTTTTTATTTTATTTTGTTTTCTAGAAGGCAACATAGTTTTTCCATACATCCACAGTGTTTCTGGGTAATTTTGACCCAATAGATTACTCAGTAAAAATACAGAACTTGCCGATAAAGTTTATGCATATGATAAACAAAATATTAACTGGATCCATATTGAAGTATCGTTTTTTTTCTAAAATTTACAAATTTTTATCATTGGGTCAAAATGAAATTGTGAAATTATTATTTGTTATTTAAGGGTAACTTTGAACCGGCAAGCATACAGCACTTTCCGATAAAGTATTTGCCTTCGAAAAATTAAATATTAACTGAATTCAATCTTTTTTTCTTAAAATTGAATACAAATTTTATTACTGGGTCAAAAAGACCCAAAACATTATAGGAAGGTGTAAATCCCAAAAACTGCAGAAGGTTTAAAATCGCCAACCTGATAAGACTGAGAAATTACTTTCCTATATGCAATCCAGACTTTCAGAAAAACTTGGTTTAATCGATTCTCCCGAAATAAAATAAAAGGGGAGGGACCTACAGTTTTACGCCGACTCCGAACCGTGATTGCATTTTTATGGCAAGCGGTTTTTCATAGCAGAAATACACTCGGAAGTTTGCCATTGGCTGCCGAGGGGCGACCACTGTTAAGAAAAAAACATTTTTTTTAAATTTTTTTGCGATGTTGCTCTGACCAGGGCTTGAATTCAGGCCCTGCGGAGTGGTAGCGCGCACTGCTAAAAACTACACCACAGCGGCCCACCGTTTGATAAGGAATTTTATCCGATTTTATTAAAAAAATTAATTAATTAAATCGGACGAAAATTGAGACCTCCAGACTAATTTGTTCTCTACCACCTTCATTTGCCTCACTGTGCGCCTGTGTGTGTGTATTTGATTTTGTCTCTTGTTATTTCAAAATAGAACACAGTGCAATGGATATGCGAAGTTCGGTTTCTATACAAATGATACCTTTTTCAAATGTTTTTTTTTCTGTATATGAATATAAAAATAACTATCTTTTTTGTCACATTACATACCATACTTTTAATCATTTTATAACGTATATTTTATCATTTTCTCAATTTCTTTATTTCAGATCACATTGGCCATAGTTATTATTACTTTAAATATGCACATTTGCAGAGCGGCTCTTTGGCCTAACTTTAGTAGTGAGAAAGCTGAAAAATGTAGTGGCGGTGTGGGCTTAAAATACTTATCCGGTGATGCGCTCACCGATTCACCAGATTGTTTAGGACCAAACAACTCACCTTATCCGAGGTAAAATACAAAAACAAAAAAAATTAAAACAAAAATGTTTCCATTTAAAATTAATTCTTCGACCTTGTATAAGTTAAGGAGTAACTTAAATTGAAATAAAAAAAAAATATTTCATATAGAAAAGAACTTAATTCTTATTTTTCTTTTTAAGCAATGTCGCGCACATTTTTTATGACCACGTTTGCTATTTAATGCCTAGTGGAAATCCCACATTAAAGACTTTTTAGCAATGCAAAGGCATGTCTATGTATTTTTTTAATGCCTAATTCTGCCAATAAGATGTTTATTATATAATACCTAATAAAAATGCGGCATATGCAAGTCTTAAGAAATTTGAATGCCTTCTAAAAGTTATTTTCTCGCTAAAATTTGAAAATTATTACCGAAATATTTAATTTTATCTTTCAATAGTGCGGCTGTGGCACGAACCTTTTCGAATTGGAATGGCAGCGCCAGACGTGGCCGTCAAAGCAAATTCCCCTCAACTCTGGACCCGGCGATAACAAAAAGCGCACTACTGCGTGCCTACGATGAAGTTAACAACGATTCTCCCGTCAGCAATCGTTATGGTGCGTAGCGTACTTATTACATTTCCAACTACTAAGTAACTAATGTATATTTATAAAATAAATAAAAAATAATTGTCTTGCATAACCCGCTATCAATCATTTTTTTTCAACTATTTCAGGACGTTCCTTATCAAATGGACCAATTGTCCAGTGCAGAGAAACGCCATCTCGATTATGTAAAACACGCTACAATACAACGGCGCCAATGTATGGAGTTAGTTTGACTTCAGGACAGCCAGTGACTATTGTACAAAAATTTCCCGATCTGTTACAACAAGTCGTTTTTGAAGTTTGCGAGTAAGTAAGAATAAATGAGATTATACTTTGTAAAAGCATTTTAAATTTTCGTTATATACTTCTTCTTGTACAATTTAAACATTTCTCTCATTTCGAATTCAGATCGGGTGAATGTGATGTTGTACGCGGCGAATGTACTCAAACTTATGTGCCGTACCTGTTTCTTGTTATACCACTGGGTCCAGTCACGTTGACTGGTCAGGACTATGTGCTGGTTGAAAGTGGTTGTGTTTGCAAACCGAAATACTCGACGGGGGCAGCACAGGAGCCAAATATGATACCATAATTTCAACACAGAGCCAAATAACTAAATACAAACACACAGAAATGGATTATGTTAAAAATAATATTTATCTATGCACTATTGATATACTGTTACATACACATAAAAAAATGGGCATTTGTTTGCATAAAAATAATGGAAAATTGTTGCCTATAGAAACATAAGATGCCCGTGTACTGAAACAAATGCAGTTTAGTTGGTGCAAGACAAAAAATCTATAATTTTTTATGCATTTTAGGAAAACATTTATGAATATTTGCAACGAATGCCCATTTTGCGTATTTTTTTTATTTATCATTAGCATTAAATTCAACAAGTTTTCTCTGTTGAAAGGTTATAATTAGTTATACATATGTACATTAAGATTAGTTGTAAAATACATATGTACATAAGTATGTATTTAGTTATTAAAAAAAAAAAACAGGAATTGAGTTTTAGGTACATTTTTACTTAGTGCTGATGTGTGCGTTAAGATTTATCGAGTTAAATATAAAAAAAATACAGTAATGTTATAGTAAAGTTATAATTAAACAAAAATATGCATTTATTTAGTAGTTTTCAAAAAATTCTTTACATAAATATTTACACAAATAGAAATGTATTTAAACAATTTTTTTTCGTTAAGCACAAAAATAGGAAATGTTTTTTTTTTTTTTTGCCTTAAGAATATATATGTATGTCTTTCTGTAACAGTATATCAATAAAACATTCAGAAATATGAATGCATATTTTTAGGGTTGATTATTTATTGAATACATACTTAAATAAAGCATAATTTAATTATTTTTAAGTTAATAAAATAGTAAGTACATATATGTTTGTACATATATGTATGTATGTATGTAGGTATACATTTATAAAAATTTATATATATACACATACATGCATACGTGTTTGCATTTCATGCTTTTGTAGCATGATGAGGTTAACAATTAAAAATAAAAATATCTGTCTTAAATATGTATTATTATATGCACTATATATACGTATATTTGTATGCAGTGTATAAATGGCATAATTGTTTTAAATAAACGAAATAAGATCAAGCATTAAATGTATGTTATTAAAGAATTGAATAAGAAAATTAAAATTGTTGCATTTATGTATATACATATTTATACACGTGTAATAATAAAATATTTAATAAAATAACACTTAAATTATTTGTGGGAAAGAAAACTTGAGCAGTAAGTAAAAATTTTAATTCTATATTAGACTGTCACATTTTAAAGAGCGCAACTTTTCTGGAGACGCGTTTAAAGTGTTCAATTGACTTACAAATTGCAGAAAATTGCGTCAGATTTTAGCATAATATGTAACACAATAAACGAGAAAACGAGGCATCAGTATAGGAAAAATGTTTTATTTGAATTGTGATAGTTTTTAGCAAATGAGTGACACGGAAGTGAATTTAAACTTTGAGTGCGAAACGAAAAGAACACTTCTCTTAAGATAAGGTTTGTTCCACGCGAGCCCGCGGGATCCCGCGGGTGCGCAAAACAGCACATAATAATAGAAAGCGTGCTCAAAACTGCCCGGACTTTTTTCCGAGCAGAAATGTGCGAGAAGTCAATTTGATATAACAGCTTTTGTTTGTTTACACCCGATAGCAAATTTTGTAAAATACATAAATGGAAAATAGCACTAAAGGTTCAGAAATGTAGGTATTTTCAAATTTTATTAGCTACATATAAGATAAATACACATAAAATCATTGTTTAGAGCTGATTTGTTGATTCCGGGCACGAAATGTGGTTTTTTGCGTTCCCCATGTTCTGCGCACTTTTCACGCGTGGTGACCTATTTTTGACACTTGTGAGAGAGTAACTTATTTTTACGCTAATACCGAAACAGCCCGGAAAGCGTGTGCAGCAAAGCTATAATGTACTTACAATAATTGCGTTCCAACTAACTTCGTGTAAAAACCGAATAGCGAGAGCGAAACAATAAAGGTCACCTGGAACGCGAAAAACTACTTTTCCTGTAACTACTTCAATTTTTTAACAAATGTAAGGTTCATTGCTTTCACCGCGTTCTGTTTTTGTTTACAAATGCAACCCTGCCTATCCTTTGACACTTTTCATGAATTTGCAGGAAGAAAAACTTCGGACTAAAACCTGCAACTTCTGACTGAGAGAGAGTGCAAGTTACTCTCAGAAAAGTGCTTTAACTTACAGGCTTTTTGGCACCTGGAACAGTGTTGCCGGTTTGATACATATGTATCCAATTGGATACATTTTTGTCTTAAATTTTGAGGGATACTCGTTTTTTCCTCAGTGTAAATTTGGATACCTTTTCCCATAAATATTTGTAAGTTGAAGGACATTTTTTTATTAATATACGAGCATTTTTAATAGTTGGCTGCTCATCTTCCAAGCAAGAAAATATCCCTTATTCTTGTCACTTTGAAAAAATAAATTTTTAGCTGCATAAACGTGCATTTAATAACACCAAGTAGTTTGCAAATTTTAAAAAGATTTCCTACCTTAAGTAGTTAACTGTAATATCGAGAAATAAACTTTTACATCCCGAGCAACCCTTCTCTTAGCAGTTAAAGGAAATCGACAACCATGCCGACGAATAATTTTCAACTATAACTTGACTGCACTAAAAACAACTTATAACTTCTAAATTGTCAATTATATGTATGTCCTTAAGCGAGAATTCAAGTAGACATTTTTCTTGAAGGCGGAATTTACAGACAAATACAAGTTTTTGAGAATTTTTTTTTTTTAACTTCATAGAAAGCTCCCAATCCAACAGTTTGATTGAAAAATATTGTAACTATAATATCGGGAAAAAACAATTTACTGAACTGACTGTAGCAGGTCAAAATTAGTTTAAATTAGTATTATTTTGATAGACTAGGAAACATTTTTTGCATGTATTATTTGTGGGAATCTAATCATAGTAATAGGCATCGAACATGCGGAAACTTTGGCCCGTAGTTGTAGTTAGTATTTTCCCATACTTAGAAACAGATCTGGGAAACAAAGCCCTGTAATTATAGTCAAAATTAAGTCGACACTAAAGTTAGTTGGAGCTTTTTGACAGATATCCCATTGAAAATTATGTCAAAAAGCTGCGATTAACTTTAGAGTCGACTTAATTTTGACTATAACTACGGCCTTTGTTTCCCAAATCCGTGTCTAAGGATGGCAAAATACTGACTACACGTTAATAAGTTTGTTATGGGGCCGATGTGGTTTTCCATACATGCACTATGTAAAAATGTCCGCTCTTTTCGGTAGATACATTTAGATACAGTTCTCGATTTTTTATGGATACTTTAAAGGCTAAGGCAGTGGCAACACTGACCCGGAACGCTTTTCTGGGAAAAAAAACTGCAAATCGTGAATATCGTGAGCATCTGGAATGCAACTAATTAAAATGTATGTATGTATTTGCACTTACGGTAATTACAGAAGTATTATTTACTGACTGATAGTTTCGCTTCTGTCGTTTCCTTCCAAGGCGAATCACTACCATTTTAATGCACATGTAATTCATTCAAATATTACTTTATATTTTGCTTTCAAATTTACACAATTTTGCGCCAAAGATTATATGTAATTTTAAAAATTCACTTGTTTGATTTGCTGCTGTAGCTTTACTTTCCTCATTCCATTTAACAGGGCGCTCGGTAGTATTTTAAAACACTGTAATAATAAAGCCGATAGTTCGAAAAATTATTACTTTATGCTACGCCGTTAATTATTACACAAATTTTTATAATTTTCACTTTCTAGTGGCTAAAAATAACAAAACACACACTGGTCGCAAACCAAATATGTAGCGGCAAAGCTTATAATTTTAACAATTGACTTGCTGGATGTGCTGTTTTGGCGTCACTTCCTTCGTAAGCACAGAAATGTATGAAATATGTTAGCACAGCCACGAGTAGAAAAATATTACTTTCTTTTATATTTAGCACTTGATCAATACAGAAATTGTCACGATTTCCACAATTTTCGCTTTTTAGTGGGTCAAAATCAAAAAATCACTGAACATAACTCAAATAGCGCCAAAACTTCCTTTTCCTGTTGGCTTGACCCCACATTTGACATTCGACATTTCCCTGTAGTTTCGTTAGGAAATCTACACACAGGGTCGCATGGAAGTCATAGTATTTTCTTATAACCTTACATTTTTCTTGACACAAGTGTATGTGAATAAACGCCATTTAAACACCTGTATGCAGGTTTTTATATAAATATCACAATTATAAAACATATATCTTGATTTTAGTTTGTTTTCTGTGAGTTCGCTGTAATTTCTAGTAATTTCGCATTTATTGTGACTAGCTATTAATTTTCATTTCTTTTTCGTCTGACCTTCTTCATCAAATATGGCAACGTTCATTTCGTTGAATTTTTCGTTGCGTCGTCTCCATTTTGCAGTGTAGCAGGCCGCATTGAAAATTTTTTAATGTGCGAAAAAAGATTATTGCAGATATATTAACTTAAAAATATGTGTAGTTTCAGCATTAACGTTGTTAAAATATATTGAAATAGTTTACTACGCGAAATTTGTAACGTTTACAGTTCATTTGAGTGCAAGAAAAACGAGTGTGTATTAATTACCCCCGCCTCCTGATTTTTTTTTTTCTTCTGCTCACATAGCTGAATTTCACGCTTGCCGCCGTGTGCGTATTCGAAGCCCCAGTTGCCGGGCGCACCATTTCCGTGAAGCAGAAACTAAAAAATTAATTGGGAGCCTAATTAAGTATAAGGTATATAACTGCAATAAGTGAGCTAAATTTATTAAAGAAAGGTTTGAAACATTGACATGACGTGAGGGTGCTAATTTGTGAAAATTGTTGAAGAAAATTATTTGAAACATTTGCTATTGCTGTTAAAGAGACGAGTGCTGCACAATGATGTTCACGGTAAGTCCGCCATTATCTATATTTAATTAAATATGTAATACACATGTTTTTGTATTAACATTGCATTGCTTAATTGAAAAATATTTTAATATATATTACAGTTTCTGAGAAAAAATATATATTTCTACTCAGACTACTACATATATCTACTTTGTGTCAAAATAACCACTCGTGTGAAAAGGTCAATGGAATCATAGGTTAATTCGCTGATTTTTTCGTTAAGATAGTACTTTATCCTCATCGCTGATAAGGCTAAGCCAAAATTGGAAATGTGAAGATAAAGCTTTCGTCGAAAATATAGTCCGCCCATAAGCTAGCAATAAGAAAAAAGGACCTTTTATAGCACGTGGCGTACTAAAAACAATGTAATTATTCGGAGATGTTTCACGTATTCTCAAAGGTATTCATACATTGTAACTTTTAGTAATCTATTATCGAATGAAAATGCTCGCTTGCAACAATTTATATTTTATTCACAAACTATTAAAATATCCAAATAAATTGAATACATTGTAATAGGTATACTATTAATGTATGGCGTTAAAAATAGATTAGGCTTATGAACATTTTATGAAATTTGAAGCAGAAGACAAATCACAAGCGAGCAATATTGTATGAGATTAACATTTTTATTAGTCAAACTGCAACAACAGGGTCGGTTTCTACAAAATCTGGTAAGTTCGGACCCCGTACGGGATCAAAAGTTTAATATGCTAAAAATTATTTGTTACATTTGAACATATAAATACATATGTCGGTCGCTGTAGTTGAAATAATAGAAGTGCTTAGATTACGTTCAAGTACAAAGTTGTTGAAACCATTTGCCTTTTTTAAAGGACATACTTTTCTTTGCTGGAAAAATAGCAATATCTAAAAGGAATTGGCGTGAAAAAAATATTTCAAAATTGTAATCAATGGGGTCGCCAAATACATACCAAGTTGATAACTTCATAAGCTAAAAGCGCTTCAAAAAGTGCTCTTCCTTTTTTTATACGGAGTGGCACAAATTGAAGACCTTCGCTACCCATAGAAGGGCTCCTTTTGGGGTAGTTCTTATACAGCTGCTCCTGTTATTCATAAAAATCATACTTTAAGGTATTTAAGGTTCATATGTTTTATTGCAATCTAAAATGCACATTTAAATTCTTTCGTAATATAAAATAATATAAACTTAAACAATTGCGTTAATTGTAAACATAAAAAGCCCTTCTAGAAGGCATGCAGGGAAGCACTTCTTTCAGCCCTTCTTGGGTAGGCCTTTTAGAATGGCTTTATTTAAGAAGACCTACCTAAATTATTTTCTGGGTATGAGTTAAGTAAGTAAAGTATTTGGTACAGCAATATTTCATTGCTCTTTGCGCTGCGTTAACCACCAACTTCATTTCGATCTCGTACCTACTGGGGGAAAATTGTTAATAAAGCGCTGCAAATTTTAAGCGGTTTTAACTTATTTTTTCAAATTATACATACTTGCAGGGCACTACACAGCAGCAGGATACGCGTTTCAGCGACAAGGAAAAGAAATTGATGAAACAAATGAAGTTCGGGGATTGCTTAAATAAACGAGTGGATATGTCAAAGGTGAAGCTGGATGTGTTACGTCCATGGATCAGCAAAAAAATTACGGATATTTTGCACATCGAAGATGACGTCGTCGTCGAATTCGTCTACAATCAATTGGAGGAGGAAAAATTTCCCTGTCCTAAGAAAATGCAAATTAATATGACCGGATTTCTAAATGGGAAAAATGCACGACAATTTATGGGTGAATTATGGGCACTGTTGCTATCAGCCCAAGAAAGTGAAAGTGGAATACCGGCGGAGTTTATTCAACAAAAGAAAGATGAGATACTTAAGAGAGAGGAGCAGCAACGCCAAAATGATCGTTCGCGTTCACGAGATAGGGATAGAGAGAGGGATCGAGATAGAGATAACGAACGTGATCGAGATCGCGATAGACGCAGCGGTAGGGATCGTTCCCATGATGGACAACGTGATGAGTTAAGTCAGCGTGAGCAGCAGTTACCGCCAAGTACTTTAAGCGCGATCGAGCAGGTTAGGTCACAATTATCAGCTAAATCTAGATCGAATTCGGCTGAAGATACTAATTTAGGTAGCGTTTCTCAAAGCAAACAAATTGAGGGGGGTATCGCAGCCAGTGTAAATGCTGCCGCAGCAGCAGCAGCTGCAGCTATAATACGAGATCGTTCCAGGTCACCAAATGCTAGTGCTAGATCGGCAGCTGCAGAAGCGGCCGCAACGAAAATACGTAACCGTTCTCCGCGCAAACGCTCCAGGGAGAGATCAGTAACGCGAAAATCTTCGCGGGAACGCAACTCATCACCGCAAAGGCGTCGCAATTCTTCAAGGGATAGACGGCGATCATCTCGCTCACCAAGGCGTAGATCATCAGGTGGTGGCGGAGATCGACGGCGACGACGTAGTCGTACTCGCAGTCGCTCCAGGGATCGCAGCGGTCGACGACCATCAAGTAAGAAACGACAATTATCACGTTCAGCATCACCACCAAAACGTCAAAGTCCAAAATCAAAAAGTCGTCGTTCCAAAGACAGACGTTCAAGATCCAGATCCATTTCTAAATCACCCGTAAAACGAAAATCATCGCCAGCGCCAACAAGTAATACAAAAAACAGAACTTCACCACCTTATCGAAAGCGTTCAACCTCTCGAAACTCGAATCCCCATACACCCGTAAATGGTCATGAAGATGGCGGTAGCGCTAAAAAACGTGATGTCAAGAAAAGATCACCATCCCGAAATCCTAGTGAACACTCACGCTTATCCACTGAAGATAAGAGACCAGCGCGCAAGCCTTCTAAAGGTCGCTCTCGTTCAAGGTAAAATCTACAAAAGCGTACAATTTTATATATGTATTTTAAAGAGGTTAGCAAATTTTAAATAGCAGTGTGTTCACAATTGAAATGTGGTAAGTAATAGTTGGTTAAGCTATGAGGAGGGGAAGAAACCCACGACATGGTACCGGTTTTAGGCCTCTTATTCGATACATGTTCGCTCTGACGAACGCTAAGTTACTAAGGAAATATTTTGTATGCCATTTGGTTTGTGAACAACGTAAGTATCCTTAAAGAGCATGAAGAAAATATAATTTTGGTGTGTACAGTGTATTTTCGATTATACATATGTATGTATCAATAAATGATTAAATCATCTAAATTTTCATTTATTTTCTAGGGTTTTAAAATTGATGAAACAAATATTGAAAATTTTAAATAATTTACTAAATAAAACTAAATTACGAACTATGTATGAATTTTCATAAACATTTCTTTATGCTCAACAGATCTCCTAGCAAGCGATCGGTTCGAGGCGCTGCTTCTTCACGTTCACGTTCAAGATCATCGTCTCGCTCCTCGAGGGCATCAATACGCTCTAATAAAAAACCAATACGTCGCTCGAGCTCACGCAACACAAGTCTGTCGCCGTCACCTGATCGTAAAGACGATTTTGAGATACGACGTAATAAGAATAGTGTACAAAAGAAACGACACTATCGTCATAACCGCGACTCATCTGCATCATCCATCGACAGGGAACGCGATCGGGACGGCGGCCGAAGGATGATGGGAGACAATAGAGGTAGGCGAGGAGATATGCCCGGTCGACGCTTTTCACCGCGTAATCGTAGTCCGCGCAATGACAGTGGAGGCGGACGGATGCAACGTTCACGTTCCCGTCGTCGTTCAAATTCACGTAATCGATCAAGATCTCGCAACCGATCACGTTCGCCCATGCGACGTTCACGTTCTCCACGTCGGTTAGTTGTTTACTAAGATATTAATAGATTAATTTTATACAAATAATTGGTATTTTTGTCTGGTAACCATGGGAGTGTCTATAGTAACAAATAGTCAGTACTAATTTGTACTGGAACCTTCAAATTTTTACAACGTAACAACACGGGAGAGCTGCAAATTCTTGCTAGTAAAATTTTTACTAGCAGAAATTAATGTAAACACTCTCTTGGGCGTTGTTAGATTTTCTATTTGCCAAATTAAGTTTCTTGTTTATAAATATTTTTTAATTTTTTATTCTATTCCTTTAACAGTTTTAATCGCCGCCGTTCGCCAATGATGCACTTCCGTGGACGCGGTGGAAACAATCGTGGCCGAATGAACTTTTGGCGTCGTAGTCCTAGCATGGGTCGCGGCGGTGGAGGTGGTGGACGCTTTAATCGTCGTTTCTCGCCGCAGCGTAGGTTCTCACGTGATCGCGACCGTGATCGGCGTATGTCTCCGATGCAGAATCAATTCCGCAAGTTTTCACCGCCACCACGACGATTCTCTCCACAACAAAATATGCCGTATCAAAGACGATCCAGAGAACGGCGATTTAGCCCAGGACCACGAGATCGTCGACCATCTTCTCCAATTAGAGATAATTCGCGTGATCGCGGAGGTGGAAACAATTTCGGACGCTGGGATCAAAATAATCGCAACCCTCCTCCAAAAGCAAAATCTAGGAGCTCCTCAGCAAGTTCGAATTGGGAATTGGAAGAGGAAGCTGCTGCTCCACCACCAGTAGCGCGCCAGCCAAGCACAACTAAACAAACTAGTCCAATTAAAAACAATGGTGACCGCGCAAGAAGTGCTAGACGTTCCCGTGATAGAAGCGATCGCGACTCCAGCCAATCATCTGAGAAAATTCCAAAGGCACGCGAAAGCTTAGGTAACTTATTTAACAATACGATAATGTTGCTTATAGTATTTTTACATATATATTGTATTTAATTGTAGGTCGCCGTTCTTCTGTAGAGTTTGCAGGTCCCTCAGTCAAGACCATTGATTTGTCCAAAGATGAACGTGGTGAAAATCGCAAAGCAAAACCAGAAGCAGTCCAAATAGAAGCCCCTCCAGTAAAGAAACCAGCTCCTACAGTTGCAGCAGTAACTGCAGCTGCTCCAGTTTTACGCAATGAAAAATTACGCGATCGTTATAGTTCGAGTTTATCTCGTACTCCGTCACCATTTTTGAAACCTCATGAGCGTGAAAAGCTCCAGCCGACTGCGGTAAAGAAAACTCAAGATAGTAAACCACAAAAAAGCCATAAGGAAAGTTATTCATCATCCTCGGACAGCTCTGGCGATAGTGATGACAGTGAAGAAGATGAGGAACGTAATGCGATCGAAAAGGTAAAAGAAACGAAGAAGAAGAATTTAGAATCGCGTTCCAAAACTAAAAGACGAAAGTCAGATACAAGCGATGACTCCGATGATGAAAGTGAGGAGGAGAAGTCTAAGAAGAAATCCAATGCTAAGGCACTAGCTAAGAGTCAGACATTAGTGGAATTACCACCGATTGCAAAGCCTGGACGAAAAGATAAAAATCTACCCACTGAAGAGATTCGGGAGGACCGAAATGCAGTTGAGCTGCAGGCTAGTCGTGCAAAAGGCAAGCACAACATTGACGTACCAGAAGTAGCTGTTCCAAGTAGTTCAAAAGCAAACAAGAAATTGTCGGAGAAAACCATTTCAAAGGATAACGTATCATCAAATTCAAGCGATGACTCTGAAAAAGAACATTCTGATGGCAAAAAATCCGAAGTAAAAGCAAAACAAGCTGTTTCGCGAAAACGCACAGCGTCTATTTCGGGGTTGAAAAAGTCTAAGCGCGCAGCTTCCTCTGAATCCGATGATGAGCATGTATCGAAGAAGAAGCGCAAGAAGGCAAAAAAATCAGCAAAACGAAAATCAACGGACGAAGATAGCTCTTCAGATTCCGAGGCTGAGGCGTCGTCGAAGAAGAAAAAGCATAAGAAGCATAAAAAACACAGCAAGAAGAGTAAGAAGCACAAGAAACATAAGAAGAAGAGCAAAAAGGCTGACAGCTCCTCGAGTAGTGACAACGATGACGAGGAAGTTCGAGAACGTACAGGCAAGGCAATAACATCAGCGCCTTTGCTGCTTGGCGGAGTAAATGAAGATTTAGAGAAACAATTACGTGAGCGGGCTTTGAAATCGATGAAAAAGAATGAATGAAGAGTCATGAACACGAACATGACGGTGACGACAGACATGTGCTGGTAACGACTGGAAATATGATGCTCTACATTTCATCAATTTGCCTGATTTATTTTTTACGTTGGTTATCCAGAGTAACTTAGTTTATAACCTATATAACACTTATTACACTACTGAAAGTAATTAGAAGTACTGACGGAAACCTCCAATATGTTGTTATAATTTTCAAAGTAAATGCCAACCACACATACACACCCGCATACATGGAACAGCAAGGAAGCTGTTGACGAAATATTTATCATCGCATGCTAAGGAACTTGTAACATACATACAGAAATACATTACTTTTTATTGTAGCAGCAGAAAGGAGCAGTTCAAACGTGATTTGGATTGGATGTCGTTTGTGAAAACAATTGCATATATACATAAATACATGCATATAACAATATAATATTGATTGCTATAATAAAAGCTATAAATCCCCTTCTGTTGAGAGTTGTCGACATTTTCTTGATTTGAATTTTAGGTTCTATTATTTAAGTAGATATTATATAATGCATTCATGTTTGTCAACTTTAAGAAGCAAACAAATAAAGATAACTACTACGGAATTCTTTGTCTGATTTCATTTAACTACACTAAGCCCTACCTAAATCGGATAATCTATCGATAGTCAACAAGAGTCTCACAAGGCAGCTGAAGCACTTCCTATACGATAAAAAGAGGATGAACAACGATGTCGGCATTCAAAGAGCGAGAGAAGCCTAGGAAGTGGCTCTACTTCTAGAAAGTGTATACAAGCGAAAATTGCTTGGTGATCATAAAATCTGTGGTCACAAGCAATAACCGCCCAAGTCGAAAAACCAGAATTCGAGAAAAAACGTTTTAAACGTTTGGATTGTAAAGTTATCCTTATGGGGGACCAAAATATGTTTTTGTCTATAACTTTTTAAATAGCCTAGCTGGCGAGGTGGGGATTTCATATACACATGAAATAGTAGTTGCAGAATACGATAGCATAACTCAATCTTTTCTTAAGTGGACTTAGGCGGTTATTGTTTATAATCAAAGAAATTATGTTCACCTAAGGGGATGATTGAGGTGTTGTTCGAGAAAAGAAATATGTATACACAAACGGCAGGTGTTTTTACCGTGAAGAATTAACTCGCATTAGTAGTTAACTTTAAATTTGTGAACTTAAAATCGATAGCTAATTACCGAATGTTGAAACGGTCTTCAATGTGATTATTTGTAAAAGTTATAAATAAAAAAAAATATTAAATTGTGTTTTGTACATATTTGGGAAAACGTATGTATACTTTGTTTATACCGAATTGTTGTAATAAATTTGAATTATTGGGCTTTATGAATAAAAATAAACAATTGCTTATTCTTAAAAGTGCAGACCTTTTACTTAAATTTATGTATTTGAATAAATCGAATAAAAGGTCTGAAATCTTAAGAAAAAGCAATAGCTTACTTTTTATTCATAAGGCCCATTGTTCGCTTCCATTTTGGTCTACCGTGCAAATTTATTATCAAACAAATGTATAAAATCAACAGTTTACTTTTCAAAACGGTTTCATCAAGTACCGTACCGTAAACACAGGTATAAACACTTGAAAGAAATATTCGTGAAATCTACGAAAATGCTATAGCATTCGAATAGCGACGACTTAAGCGAAACTTTGAATACACACGTTCGTTGCAATTCGGATTCAGGGATCGCATTTTCGTAGATTTCCCAAAAATCGGACTACGATGGATTCTGTGATAGCCATCATTTAAATGAGAGATTAAATCCATGTACATTCGTACTAATGCTTTCAACAGGCTTGCAAAATTTGACAGGCAGGTGTCGCTATCCGTGTTTATCACCCTGTGCTTTCGCAGAGAACATATCAGCTGAAATTAGTCGAGAACGCAGAACGTATACTTAAACGCAGTCTGTATACGCAGAATTTTGTCGATTACTGGAGCCCTCAGTGGTGCTTACTACAATGTTGCCACTCATCAATGCCTATTCATAAACTTACCCTTTCAATTACAATTTTTCGTGCTATAATAGATTTTAGCTAAATATAAACTACTTAGTTTTCAAGAAAAACCTTATTCAATAGTAAATTTCAAATATTTTAAACATATTTTGAGTAGGAACTTATATCTTGTTTACCATCTGTAAAACTGACGAAGTGGCAACCATCTAAAGAAGGAGAAATCAGCTTACACGGAAAAATCTAAATTCCGCAGATTTCTACGCTACGGGCTACAACTACAGAAAAATTCTGCGGTGCTGAGTTTTCATTTGCATGGCGCTTTGGTAAGACAGATCGTGTCAGCTGACACGGGTTTACGTACCGGTAGGTTTACGTTCTTGACTAATTTCAGCTATCGTCCCGTTTCTGCCTTAACCACGTATCTACAATTTTTAGGAAAACTAATATTACCCCTTTTAACAGCTGTTTAAGCGTCACCCCTTTTGAAAATAGAACAAAGACTTAATGAGGGTTCTCACTACTGTTAGTGGAACCAGAAATATTAAGTAAAAAATGCGTTTATTATATCCTAGGGGAAGAAATTAAGCATTTTTTCTTACACTCTCTAAAATACCTCTATTGCAGATACGAGGTTAAGACAGAAACGGGACGATATGTAAGTTCTCTGCTTATGTTTTCGTCCATGTAAAAACTGTCAAATGAAAACCAGTTTTCGTTTAAAACTACTTGAACACACATTAATTCGAAAAGGTAAGTTTATGAAAAGGCATTGATGAGTGGCAATACTGTAGTAAGGAAAACTGAGGGCTCCAGTAATCGACAAAATTCTGCATATACAGACAGTTCTGCGTTCTTGACCAATTTTACCTTTAGTGTATTTTAAATAAATTGTAATAGAAATGGCAGAAATCGTAAAAGAAATGAATGAAATTGTAAAAGATGCCAAAAACTGTTCTCCACTGAACCATAATCGCGTATATCCACAACAAAGCGAACTGTCAAAAATTCGATTAACATCCGGCTGCTTTGCCATCCTCCTTTCCTTTTTACGTATTTTAACAAGATGGTAGGTTGTCGAAAAATTGCCGTGGAAATTCACTACCATCGTACTATTCTGATATGAGAATTATCGAAACTTGTTTACAGAGTGTTAATGAATATTTGCCATTGAAGTGTATGCTAATATTTCATTGTGAAATTGGCGTACTCAAGTAGTTTTTTGCAAATTTGCAGTTGCTATTTCTGATGCGGCTATACTCTGCTTGTCGCCGCCGATTGCATCCTTGGTGTTGAATTCTACGGCAAATAAAAATGAAGTGATACATTTTAAGTGCGATGTGACAATATATCAGAGTGTTTTGATTGCAGGCGAGAGGTCCCAAAAAGCATTTGAAGCGTTTAGCAGCCCCAAAGGCATGGATGTTGGACAAATTGGGAGGAGTATTCGCTCCTCGTCCATCCAGTGGCCCACACAAATTGCGGGAGTCATTGCCGCTCATGATTTTCTTGAGAAATCGTCTAAAGTATGCGCTGAACGGTGCTGAGGTGACCAAAATTGTTATGCAGCGTCTGATCAAGGTTGATGGCAAAGTGCGCACCGACCCAACATTTCCCGCTGGTTTCATGGGTAAATATATGAAATGATTACAATTTAATACAGTACATTCAGTAATATTTTTGTTATTTATTTTGTAGATGTTATCACCATTGAAAAGACTGGTGAATTCTTCCGTTTGGTGTACGACGTCAAGGGTCGATTCACAATTCACCGTATTTCGGCTGAGGAGGCAAAGGTATGTTTTGTGTAGATCCTTACTTTACATAGCTGGCTTGATCGAAGACCACATAATTATGATACCAAACATATATGTGGTTCAAAAGTAAGCCAAAAGCAATTTTTGTTACGACGGTCACCGAATATCTTGATTACTGTGATAATTTGGTAACACTTACGTGCAATTACAAGAAACCCGCAATTTCATTTTCTGACTAACTAATAAACAGTATGTAAGCCAAATCAAATGTTGCCAATAACCTTATTTTATTTTATTTTATTTTTGCAGTACAAATTGTGCAAGGTCCGCAAAACACAACTTGGCGCCAAGGGTGTACCATTCGTTGTCACCCATGACGGCCGTACCATTCGTTATCCCGATCCCTTGATCAAGGCTAACGATACTATTCAAGTAGATATTGCCACCGGTAAAATTACCGACTACATTAAATTCGACTCTGGTAAGCGCAGTATTTTTTGTTTCCTTCGCATTCACTATATAGATATTCATAATTTTTAGGAAACCTGTGCATGATCACTGGAGGTAGAAATTTGGGTCGTGTTGGTACCGTTGTTAACCGCGAGAGACATCCTGGTTCCTTCGATATCGTTCACGTAAAGGACTCGCAAGGACATGTGTTTGCCACCAGATTGACAAACGTTTTTATTATTGGCAAGGGCAACAAACCCTACATCTCGCTGCCTAAGGGCAAGGGTGTTAAATTGAGCATTGCCGAGGAACGTGACAAGCGTTTGGCTGCCAAAACCCACTAAATAGTTATTTAAGACCGGTTTCTATATTTGCGAAAGATGGATCATTCACAATAAACAGAAATCACTTTAGAATAACCTGGGAAATGATGATTTCTTGTTATATATACCCGAGGGTTCTGCAATTCACTTCCGAGTGAATTTGAGTCAAGTTCGCTTTGAATTCAAATGGGCAGGGGTTGAAATTCATTCGGAAGTGAGTTCCAGAGCTTGACCAATAATACAGGGTAGTTTTTAGAATTATTTATTAAATTGTATTCTTACAGTTAGGCTTAAATAAGATACATATGTATTTCCCGCACAGGTCTGCAATAACTTCATAGTCGCATCTAATGAAATAACTTAGATGTTGGCCGTGCTATTGGCAGTACACGGCATTGTTGAGGCGGAAAGGGTAAATCGGAGATTGCTCATAAATACTTCATACCAGAATTATAGTTATAAATGTTATAATTTACATATATTGTGCGGGTGCAATTTCACTTCGAGAACGATAGGATTTATTTGCTAATGGACGGTGGATGTACATGCTCACCCTCCATATTAAAGATTGGATCAATGCGCGGTTGGAGACGTCGACTTCAACATTAAGCAACGTGCAGAGTATTAAGGCCCGTTTCCAATCACAAGAAATGTTTTTCATCAATTTTCTTGCTAGAAAAAGCATTGCGGTTGCTGTACATTTTCTTGAAGAAATAAATACGCGTTTAGTTAGGTTAAAGTTTAAACTGACCGCTTAGGTTACGATGGGCATGTTTGAGGCACGTAGTAAAATCGGCATTACTGCCGTACTGATGGAAATTTGCAACACTTTTGCAACAGCCCAACTGATAATCAATCAAGCCCGATGCTTCTTGGAAAAAATTATAAAAGCTGTTAGAGGAGCGTCATACCAAACGGAAGGTCCCAGGAATTCATATTATTTTCTTATAGGCGTATTCCCTCTGCAGGTAATGGCAACAGATCAATTGTATTTTTATACAGGGCTATCAGTGAATGCGTCGTGATCCGCTTGAAATCTACGAAAATGCTATCACTGAATTCGAAGAGTTACAAACATGGCACGATGCATTCAGTGATAGCCAGCCCCTATTATGAATAGGACTATTATACAAAATTTGAGAAGCTAGCCAAAGATTTATGTATATCGTTACTATATTACGGGAAGGGCGTATCTCACATCGTCACTGAAATGGAGAAAAAGCCATAACTAACTAAAATTGTTTATTGCATAAAACGATGTGGAGACTTATAATTCCATGAAATGCATGATAATCAATCAAAAAGTGCAGTTTGAATTTTTAATAAGTTGCGGCTTTTTGTATTTCAGCGACGATGTGAGTTACGCCCTTTCCATTCCTGCAGAAAATGTGTCTAGCTCAGAACTAGCGTAGAACTAGACCTTTTGCCGGCAGTACTAGATCTAGCTCAATACCCAAGCAGTGCTTTCAACTGTGCACTTTTACACGGCGATGTCATTGGCAGTGGCAATTGTCGCCCACTGCATGACTTTGTAACTAGTTTTTAACCGGTTCCGTTTTGGACAGTTTTTTTGCGCTACGTAATAACTACTACACTCACCAACTAATTTGCCCAGCGGCCACAAGAGCAAACTCGATAAATTTTTTCGAAACGGTTTCATATTTTCAGAAGCTTTTCCATATACGAGCGGCCATCTTGTAACGCCACTGAGATTCATAAAAATTTCCATTTTTTCACAATAAAACTAGCGCCTTATAGCTTGGGCGTATGCATACATACATACACTTCACTTATCACATTTTAATTTTAAACATTTTAACCACTTTATCACTAACTAAGCCATTGCATTTTTATTTGCTTTTATAAAAACACAATTCACAAATTTTTGCAAATCACTCGACCGAATGTTAAGAAGCGACTGAGGAAATGGAAATACCGAAGAAAATGAAAGAGGAAGTTCTTTTTTATTAAAAGAAGCAAAAGCGAGCACAGAAGTGGCTAATAGAAGGCGGCTGCAGACAATTTAGCCGTATCAACATGAAACATGCATTTTCGCAAGTGTGGTTGTTGTTCAAAGGGTTTGTGAACGTGCTAATTATGAAGGTTGCAAGTGAATTTCCTCTTTCTAGCGCCGCTCCTATTTCCTCGTTTTGTTTTATTATCCGTCCGGTTAAGTTGGGCGCAGTTTTTGCGCGGCTTTTGCAGTGATGTGATGAATTTTAACCTGTAAAATATGTTTGTAAGTGAATAAATGTGTGAAAGTGAAAATTTGTGAAATGAGTGTTCAATTAAAATAAAATGTGTTGTCTGTACTTAATGTATTCATAAAAAGTGCCGCTCCGCATACATGCAAATGTCCGCTGGACCGCTTGTTGAAATTTGCTTCTCACGCCGGACCCAATTTGTTCAGCGTCAGCATGCACATTACGTCGGGTCGAACGGCTTTGAGGCTTTCGTTTTCCCGGTGGCCACTTGAAATTCAAAGCTGATGAAAGAAAGAGGCGCGCTGGACGCAGTGCCAACACGGAGAAGAAGGATGTGAAGAAACATTGCTGCAAAGTGTGGTTGTTCCCTTCGGTCCTGAAACCGCCCGTAAGTCACCAAACTTCTCGCTCTTTTTTCAGCTCCCTAAAGCGATTCACCATAACGTCGTTTAAAGCAGAGCTGTAAAACTGTGAAATCATTTAAATTTGTTTGTTTGTTTTTGTTTCAAAATAATTTAAGCCACTCAGGAATGAGTGTTTTTTATACAACCAAAAAATCAAAATTTTGAAAAGAATGCCCCGAGTGAATGCAGATCCTACTGATTCAATCATTTTACAGCTCCGGTTTAAAGTACAAAACCGCGTAACTGACATTTGCTGGCAAAAATTGGATTTGCTCACACAAGCTCTTGGCTCAATCCTTATCCATTCGTCCTGAAATATACTAGGCAGAAGTGCGATTGCTTTATAAAAACGAGAAGCATTTTGAAATATGAGTGTTTTTACTTTGTAGAAAATAATTTGTGTGGCGCGGTTTTGCATTTTGTTGATACGCGGATTTCTACATTAACCGGCGATATGTATGTATGTATGTATGTAGCACAATAGGCAACAATCTTTTTCTCTGCAACAGCGTGACCCTCCTCGTTGTTGTTGTTGTTGTAGCGGATTACTCAGCCTTGCCAAGATCGGCGGGACGCTTAGTCGTTGTCGTCAAGTTCAACCAACGGAGGCCCAATAAGTGAGCCACTCCGACTGGGTTGGACCAGCGGGAGAACGGCGTTAGTTTAGTGGGATTTAGAGGGCCTGAAAAGGGATGTACCGAGTCATAGGTGACTCTCCGCATGCCAGAAATTCATTGAGCACATCTGCATTTATCTTACTCAGGTAGGAGTTTGACCTGCTGCAATAACCAGAGTGGAGTGGGGCTATGGTGACGCAAGTCTCCCGAGGCAGACGAGATTCTGACACCTCCACATCAGGTGAATGTGTTGGTGTAAGTTGGAACGCCTCTTAGGGAATGCCGTTTATGTGCTGTAGGTACGCTGTCGGATCCATTGGTTGTTTTATGAGCCTCTAGACCTCGGCAAAGGTTATGCAGCTGGTAGATAACTGGCAGGCACCCTACTAGGAACTGCTTGCATAGCATGGTGCTGTGCTCCTTGAGTGGGAGCATTTGGGCCTCGTTATGTAGGTGGTGTTCTGGTGACTTCAGAAGGCATCTGCTGGCGGTTCGGAGTGCAGTATTTTGGCGGGTATGTAACTTCTAGTCACCGGCCACCACACGGGCGCTGCGTAGTTTAGAACCCGGCCGGCCTATTGCCTTGTATGTCTGTTTGGTATGTATGTATGTAGGTCTACGGGAAGAAAGTTCAGTAGGGCGTACAGTGCATCGCACCACTTATGAGTGTGAACCTCTTCAAACTGACCTGCTGCAGGAATATAGTGTTACCGTTGCTTTGTGCATTCTATCTGCAATGTTGAGTGGGGGGGATGGGTTAAGGTCGCCTTCTTATTTATTTTCAAATTGAATTACACCTGCGCAAAAATACTGTATTCGGTGTAGCCGGCGTTGGAATGATGAGGGTTAGTTTTTCTAAAGCGGAAAATACTATGGATGGCGTAACCCGAGTTTACATTTTCTCTGTAAAAAAATTAATTTTACCCTAGAGGTCTGTAGAGGGGTCAGAGAGGTGAAAGGAACCTTTTCTTAAAGTTCCAACTGTGCTCTTTTTAAAGGGTGGAGTTTTAGGTGCCACATCACAATGCTTAAGTCCAGAACAGAATTCTAGAACAAGGGGAAATTATATTTTTGTATTCAAAATAATTTTTGTTATTCCATTTAACAGCTGCTCAAGAGCTCTAAAAACACATTTCCAAAGTTTAGACACTTAATCGTATTTTTTTATTTTTCTTGTATTTACAATGGTCTTTTTCGGTAGAAAAGTGGTGAAAATCGTGCTATACCCGGATGGAAATTATTATTTCGTAACTATGTATTTATGTAAATATTTAAGTAACTATGCAGCCATAATTTGAGTTGCTGAGAGACAATTTGCTGCTTTGATTTATTTTGATAAATAAATTTACGAGTTGGGTAATTAATGCCCAATTGTCCTGGTAATTTATGAAAATTTATGGACATACATACATAATTTTTTCTTATATAGATATATTTTTCGACCAAGCTCTAAAAAACTCGAAGAAAATATTATTTTTATCAAATTTCTAGTTGCATAAGTGCTATGTGTATGAAATTGCGCTGCTTTGTAATGTAATGGATTCTTCATAGACGTATGTATGTACATATTTACGCTTTATATGCAGATGGCATTTTTTTTTTTTTAAACTAACTACAAAAAATAAAATGTAAAAATGATACAAAATGATGATGAGTGTATTTAACTAAAATTTCTTTCATATTCTTAAAAAATATTCACGATTTCGGTGAACCCCGTTTTGTGACTAATTTTCCGGAATCTCGACTATTAATGACTTGAGCGTGAAATCCTGTCTCCCAATCGGCATAGTACTTAACGGTGCGAACATTGCCATCGGGTTCCACCAGTGAGTACTCGCCTTTTACAACATCACCATCACGTTCCTCTTTCTGGTGTTTTA